TAAAAACACATGCTGTCTGAATGGCTTCTAGATCATGTACACATCTGGCTTTTTGTCATGTTTTTTATTAGTACTTGAAAGGTAAACATTAATCACATTATTTCTATGAAACAAACAGTAAATGGCATAGTGAAATAAAATAAATATACAGGTCAGTTAAAATGATCAGCTGATTCCACTACATAAAACTTTGGTAATTTGATTAATAATAATTGTAGTAACAGTAATACAACAATTTGTATTTTTTTATAAATAATAATAATAATAATGTTACTAATATTATCATCATAATAATTTCTAATTTTGGAATTTAATGTTCAAACATTTGTAATTTTATCAATTATAACATTTTAGTATTTTGAAATAATTATAGATAAGAAGAATTAATAGAACTAATTATTTATAATTGTAAAATATATCATCATCATCATCATCCAATAAGAAGTCATTTTTAAATAATAATTTAAAATAATTATAGAATTAATAATTTATAATTTCATAATAAATTCTAATACTTTAATACATAATAAATTAATTCTAATACTTAATACATAATAAATTCTAATACTTTAGTAGTACTACTATTGCTAATAATAATAATAATTCCATCATTTATAATTGTATTATTAATATTAATTAATATTAATTGTATATTTAATTATTAGTAATAAGAATTACAATAATCATTTAATTTTTAATGTTATTGTTTGACATAGATTAACAGAATTAATGTAATAATACTAATAATATTGTATAAAACAAAAACGGTAGCGGGTAAATAGGTTGTCATTTATGCGAAGGCAAAAGATGTTTTATATTTGAACATAGTCATGGCTACAGGCTGTTGTTAGTTATAACACACAGCAGTTATGAGTTGCAGGCTTCCTCAAACAGCTCTGTTTGTGTCTTTCCCAGACACGTGCCTTCCTGACGGAGTACTACCGGGAGCATAACCTGGAATTGTTACGGCTGCTGAATCTGCTGGGTCAGGCGTTACCCACCTGGCTCAGAGAAGAGCTCCAGAGCACCAGCTGGAGCTGAGAAGACGACTCCTGCACCTCCAGTATCAGAACACCTAAAAAACAGTGTCCGCTCACTACAGAGGTACCAAAACCACTCGGTTCATAACTATAGTAGCAGATGAAATGACTGACGGCTTTGAAACGGACTGCAAACCTCAGCCTCTCTCTGCTGCCAAGGTGCTCACTGTCTGAGATGTTGAAGATGAGGGAATGCTGGGAAATGTAGTCCCTCCTTTTTACCTTAATGACAGACCTGCCTGTCAGGCCCAGAATGCACTACCGATGTGGACAAGCATGAATTTATTGGTGACTTAAGTGTGTTAATACACACTAGTACTCGTACAATAAACACACACAGTCTAGCCTTGATCATCTCGTCTGAGGAATGATTGTAAAACATTGTACATTTAAAAGCGTTGTATATTTTGGGTCCGGGTGGGTGGGATTGTGATGGTTGAACCTGACAGCGTTTGTGTACAGCCAGAGCTCTGTTTGAATGGGACGCCTATAGGACGTCAGATCCGCAGCCCTTCTCTTCCCCACGCGCACAAACACACAAAGCTGGATCAGAAACCAAACGGTAAGAAAGTATATGCAATCGAGGGAGCATCTCTTCAATGTCTCGTCTCCCACTAGAGTCCAGTGGAAAGCTTTTATTTCAAGTGTCTTATCAGGTGTATCTCCGTATTTATCTTATCCATGCACACTGTAGTGTGGAAATTACTGTAGACGCTGTGGCAGATGTGTTGTATGTCAGGAGCTGTGAAAGCGGGAGAGGAGAAGGGCTGTGCTATGATTTGATTTGTGGTCTGTCCTACACAAGGAGGAGCTGCTGTCTTTTTTTCTTTAGTTTTTTTTGTAAAAAAAATGTATTTTAAAAACTCCCAACGCTGTATTATCTCTAATAAACACTTAGAGAGGTTGGATATGTTTGTGTAAATCATTTGGTCTGGAATTGAGCCTTTTGAGAAAAGAGCAAAAGGTATTATGGGCAAAAAATTGTCTGTAAGATTTTTTTTAATGCAGCCATTACTCCAGTCTTCAGCATCACATGATCCTTCAGAAATCATTCTAATATGCTGATTCAAGAAACAAACATGATACATTTTTTTCAGGATTATTTGATCCTGAATTTGAAAAATACTTGAAATGGAAATCTACAACAAAACATTCTTACTGAACCCAAGCTGCTGGACGGTATATTTTCCTAAAATCAGTTTAGAGATTTTAGTCTTTCTTCATTCAAGTAGAGGAGCTAAACTTGCCAGAGAAAATGGCTGCCTGTGAGTGTTGCCACCAAATTACCTTTCAAAGGGATCACAGTTCTGTCTAGGGAAGCACTTTTAAATATTTTTATATTTGCTGCTTAAAAGCACAAGAAAAAAATGTGTGTAACAGTCATATTGTGTCTAATAGTGAATAATAGCTCAGCCTTCATTTCAATGACTTCAAGCAAACCACATTTCTCTAACCACACATCACACTACTGCTTAATGAGCTTCCTGTGGAAGAGTTGTTAAGCGAAAACTTATCTGTAAAAAGAGACATAAATGTAAGATGATTTCCCTTTCGAAATGCACTATTTGTAATAATTTCTCCAAATACGCCAACACGATGCATGAGCACCTGATATGCACCTGTCATTAGTTGTGTAATACAATGTGTAAATAACCGCATTCAGTTTCATTTTTGAATGCAGCAAGTTGTTAAATGACTGGCCTTTTTGTTATCTCCTTAAGTAGCATTCCAGTTGTCATGCCTTTTCTCTCCACACAGTGGAGCTATAGACTTTGAGTGATTTGAGGCTAATGCTCTCTTCTAGTGATGGGAAGTCCGGTTCTTTTCCGCGAACCGGTTCTTTCGGACAGTTCGTTTCAATGAACCGGTTAAAAAAAAAAACGGTTCACAGGTTATTTTACTCTATAACGTAATGACGTCATTTGCGATGACGTAATGACTATCGTCCCGGGTCGGGATGAAAATACATTCAACATATTCAATTATATAAAGTCAGTAATCATTACTTCAGTCAGTTAAAACATCAACATGATCTAACCGGTTAAATCGAACGATTCGTTCGCGAACCGGACATCACTACTCTCTTCATCTCACAGAATGCATGCATACACACGCTGCACACCTGGAACATTTCCACTCATCCGTTAATTAATAACACATGAGCTTTAATGCTTAATGGGCTGCTCGGTGGGTGTCTGGCCACAAATGGGTTTACACCTCTATTGAGTGTGTTTGTGTATTATTCATGTATATTTAGTTGTAGTAGCATAACTAAAGAGCCACTGCTGTCCTAACTGACTTGCTAAACAGGCTTTGTCAATTTTTTAAAATGATGTTAATGATTATTTTTTAATTTAATCATCCTCTTTAGAAAGTTCAATGTTGTCTTTTGTCACGTTGTGCTTTCAGTACTTTAAAGTGATGGAAATTCTGTAATCATTTCGTTCCTAACTTAAATGACTGACTTTCTTCTGTGGAACACAAAAGAACAGTTTTTGTCTGTTTGTGTCCTTCAGGCTTTCATTGTGTGGACAAAAAAACAGTTAACAGTGGACAGTTAAAATACTGCATTTTCAGTGCCGCTCAACATCTGATAGTCTCTCATAGTAAATTTTGCTTTAAATATGTCGTTTTTTGTATATTTGTGCTCATCCCAAAAAAAAAATGTCCAAGGTAAAATCTAATCTAAATCAAAACCAGTTGCACTAAAGCCTTGATGACAATTAATTGCTTACTACACAGTAAACGGGCAAGGCTACTCATTTTGAGCATTTTTCCCCCCTCCTCTTTCCCTCTGGCTGCCTCCTCCATTTTCTCTCCCTGCTCTGAAATGGCTGTGAAATTTCCCACTTGGGCGAGACTGTCGTCTGTTTTGACTTAATGTAGGAAATTGACTCATTTCGTGGCATTGATTTCCTCTCTGCCTCATAGAGGAGATCGCTGGCAGAGCAAACCTGAGAGCGGTCGATAGCCCTTCATTGGAGAGAGAGAGCGCTCGTGTGTCATTGTTTGTTTCCCCCATTTTAATTCTCACAACCTTCGCCTATATAACTACACCAGTAATCTACTATTGTGGCATTTTACCTTCATCTATAGGTGTTCCTGGTGTAGCTGTTGTTCGCAAACGTCACATAATTTATGTTATCTGTCAGTGGAATTCAGAGGCCCACTAGTTCAATGACACTGGTTTCTCTTGTGATTTACTGAATTGGTAGGGTTCACAATGTGACACTTTTACTCCAAATACGAGCCCAGGCCAGGTATGTTGGTGTGTGTTTCTGCAGTTGCTACTGATTTTATGGATGGAATGGAAGGGACACACTTTGAAAATGACTTAATTTTTTAAAAAGGGGTTTAATCGTGAGAAATAAAAATGTATCTTCTGGGCTGGAGAATGGTCTTAAAAAAAGTTATATTATGACCGAGACATGCAATGGTTGCTAAAACTGTTTAACAGTTACCAACTTTTGTGTTCAGCAGAAGAAAAAGTGTCATACAGGTTTGGACCAACATGAGGGTGAATAAATTACAGAATTTTCATTTTTGGGTGAACTATCCCTTTAAATTATGTGCATCTAATAAGGCTTTATTGACTGCATTCTCTTTGGGTTCAGTAGATCAGTGCTTGTCCTTTCCGTGAACACTTCCACAGTAAGCATCACTTAGCCTGTATACAGGAAAGTCGGCCTCCACAGCCTCTGTTCTGGGAACTCATTATCAGGTAAACGCCTTTATGGGGTTCTGCGGTAATTAAAGGATCAATAAAACAACATGTGAGGTTTGTCTCATCAACACTGCTTCACCTGCACTGATGATTGTTCTGGGTCAATATCACCCACGGTTTATGTCTGATGGAAATTGTGAATTGCGAGATTGAGGAGGAATCTTTCCTTCTTATTATTTGATGGGTGTAATACACTTACTGACCAGGTGGTGTCAACACTGTATTTCCTTTAATTTTTTTCAAATTGCCTTGTATTTTTATTATATTTCCTTTTTTTTTTATACAGATCCCCCGTCAAGAAACACTCACATGCACCATCACAGTGAAACTGTGTTAAAAGTATATATCTGCTACAACCTGTGTAAATATCTTAACATTTATAAAACCAAGTTATCAAGTTTTGTTATTTACCAATTTATAACATTTCAAACACAAGCACATGATCCTGTAGGTTGGTGTGCTAGAGGAATGTAACATGGTCCTGTTAGAGGACAGCAGTGTTTACTCTCAAACAATTCAGCTCCACTCACAAAGTTACTCAGACATACAGAATGCCACCCTAGACTAACAAATCGAGAAGAGCTACAGGAACGAGTTTCCTTTATCATTTACTAGCTTTTAACTAAATTAAAGGAGCCAAATCTACTTTAGTGGGGAAAAAGACCTTCAGGCTGCTAGATGGAGTATTACAGCAAGCATTCTCTGTTAATCTGGCTTGGTTCAAGGTGAACGTCAACATAAGGAGTCACCAAAGGGTTAGTCAACGGACAAGCAATTTGGTGGATTGGTGTCCACATTATGGATGCACTGGTGCTTTGCTTCTGCTTGGCGCTAGGACTAATACATACTACAGAGGAAAAGGTTCTCAGACGGGGCAGAGTTCCCCCACATATTGTTTTTGTGATGGTGGATGACCAAGGCTACAATGACATTGGGTACCATGGCTCAGAGATCCACACGCCCGTGTTGGACCAGCTGGCTGGCGAAGGGGTGAAACTGGAAAACTACTATGTTCAGCCCATCTGTTCCCCCACACGCAGCCAGCTTATGACTGGACGGTAAGAGACCCACTATTGTTTTTCTAATGGCACTATTTTGTTTAAACACTGCATGAATCTTACTGTACACACTAGTCAACATTTGAAGTGGATCAAAACCTTCCATCAAAGTTGTCCTAAAACCAAAATGCGTTCTTGTCTTAGGACAATTTTGATGAACTTTTTTGATCCACTTCAAATGTTGACTACTGTATACTTATTACAATTATGTATATACTACTATAAATTATCTTATACTGTCTAATTCGATATATTGCATATTCAGTATAAGTAGCTTTTCTCTATTGAAGTTAAACCCAGTGAATTTATTTGTATAGACAAGGGTTCAATAAATCCAGACCTTGAAGGCCACTGTCCTGCAAAGTTTAGCTCCAACCCTAATCAAAGACTTGTGAGCAAGCTAATCAAGGTCTTCAGAGTTACAACAAAATTACAGGTAGGTGAGTTTGATCAGGATTTGAGCTGAACTCTGCAAGGCAGTGGCCCTCCAGTGCGAGATTTGAGGAACCTGTATAATTGTGTATAATCTGTGTTCCTCCATCACAATCACCACCTACCATCTATTGCTTCAGGTATCAGATTCACACTGGGCTTCAACACTCGATCATCCGTGCACGGCAGCCCCTCTGCTTGCCCCCCGACATACCGACACTCCCTGAGAGGCTCCGGCAGGCTGGCTACAGCACTCACATGGTAGGGAAATGGCACCTGGGTTTTTGCCGGCCTGAGTGTCTGCCAACGAGCCGTGGCTTTCAAAGCTTCCTTGGATCGCTGACGGGCAGTGGAGACCATTTCAGCTTCCAAAGCTGTGACGGTACAGAGGCCTGTGGGTTCGACCTGCATGACGGAAACCGGCCGGCCTGGGAGCTGAGTGGGAATTACTCAACAAGGCTTTACACTGAGAGGTGAGAAACAGCAATCATTTGTGAACCGAATACTGTGCTGCATCGAGTCATGTAAGCTTTTGTGCTCATTTGGACTCTTGCAGAGTGAAAGAAATCCTGAGAGGTCATGACCAGCGGATGCCCCTGTTTCTATATGTGGCCCTCCAAGCCGTGCACACACCATTACAAGCTCCTGGGCATCTTCTCAGACGCTACCAGACCCTTGGCAACAGACCTCGGCGCCACTATGCCGCAATGGTGAGCGGCGTAGATGAGTCAGTAGGGGAGATCGTCAGCGAGCTGCGGGAGCGAGGCTACTACAACAAGTCTGTGCTCATCTACTCTTCAGACAACGGGGGCCAACCTCTCTCAGGGGGTTGTAATTGGCCCCTGCGTGGCGGCAAAGGCTCCTACTGGGAAGGTGGAGTTCGAGCAGTTGGTTTTGTACACAGCCCACTTTTGAAAAGGAAGGGGGTGGTGAGTCAGGCTCTGATTCACATTTCCGATTGGTACCCAACCTTGCTGTCTCTTGCAGGATACAGAGATTCTGATTCCAGCCACCTGGACGGCCAAGATGTTTGGGGTGCTATAAGTAGCGGCCTGCCCTGTCCACGAACTGAAATCCTCTTCAACATTGACCCCGTGTCACGCAGACATGGAGAAGTCGACCCGAGACTCCTAAATGTTAATGGTTTTGGGATCTGGGATACAGGAGTGCGTGCAGCCATTCGAGCTGGTGACTGGAAACTTTTGACAGGGAACGTAGGCGACGGAGACTGGTTTCCGCCACAGACGATGCCGGGAGGTCCGCAGCAGTGGCAGGGCATGGAAAAGAGACGAGACCAGCGAGGGAAGTCTGTCTGGCTTTTCAACGTCACTGCTGATCCCTATGAGAGGGCAGATTTGGCAGAGGCACGGCCTGAGGTGGTCAAGGTGCTGTTGGCCCGACTTGCTGAGTACAACCGGACTGCTGTGCCTCCGCGTAATCCACCGGACGACCCGATGCCAAACTGCCGAATCATTTGATACAGATGGTTGATCGGAACACTGTTGTCCCTGCTCATAATCTATTGTAGTGGATGAGAAACTACACCAGCTAGTATGGAAGAGTTACAGAAGACTCTGTTCTACTAGTGTGTGTATATAGGAACTGAATACATTTGAGTGCATAGCTTTCTTTACACTTAAACCACAAGTTATGCTATATGCTGTGATGAAGGGATGTTGTAATTATATAAAATGTTTCTCAGGTTCATTTAGATCTGATGCCATCACTCTAAAGATCATAACTGTGCTTGTGCCACATAAATGTCAGTTTGTTTTATAAGAATATTTCTGCCTGTTTGAATTAAAATGTGTTGCATTGTTTATGTTTCCAATATGTCATACGCCTACAGTCATACTCCCAAACAAAGCTCTCCTGGATCGATTCAGCCTTATACAATTGAGCCTCACTATACTGGACAATAGCTTGTTTTTTGTAACATTTATTTATTTTTGGAATAACACCAATTTATTACTAAACTCTTGAAATGTGTATCTTATACTGCAGCTAGGCTTGAAGTGTATGTCACTGTAACAGTCTTTTAATTCATTCCCAATGGGACATACCCAAAAGGATTCTCTCTTATTCAAATCACGAATTTGCTTGTGACTGTTTTGTGAATCTTTTCTGATTGATTTGTTAAAAAGAACCAGCTCATGTGAATAATTTGTTTGGGGGGCAAATCGGACATCACAACTCATTGCTTTCGTTGTGTCATTTAACAAGCACAACACAGCAAAAAAGATATACTATAAAATAGACATACAAGAAACACCGAAGGCTGGGGTTTTGGTGAAAGTGCAGATTATTGAAGGAATGGGGGTGGTCTAATTCACAGTGGCGTAAATTAGCAAAATGACTGAAATCGCTTACAGCATCTTAAATGCATCCCAGTTTAATGGTCATGCTAAGAGCAGTATTGAATTACACAATTGCTTTACAAATCAATAAAGCAACATAATGCTGTGGTGTGTCAACACAATCACCACTACAACGGGCAGCAGGCAGCTCATTATAGGCAAATTATAATTCATAAGATGGTGATTGTGCTAATGTAAAGACGTCAAGAGTATTACAATACATTTGCATTAAGCCTAACAAACTGCTCTTGATATTTTAGCCTGTTTTGTGACGCTTCGGTTGATCTTCAGTTACACAGATGAAGTGATAATGCGGTCAGAGCTTGACGGTGCTGATAACTCTTTAATTTTACTGAATCTCGTTTTTAAACCTCATAACACACACTGACAGACAAAATAAGCTGATTTTGGCACATTATGCATCACATATATAATTCAAACATGATCTGCATATATAGTCTGTAATACTTAAAGCAGTGCACTTTCCTGAGGAACCGATGCTGTCTGGCAGCAAGCCATCTATCCTCTGCTGCTGAGCTTTTGCTGAGGACTGAGTATACCAAAATGTGGCTTTTCCCAGCATGCAAGAACACATTCTCATACACAGCTCACTGTACAGAGCAACAGCACTACAGGAACACTGCAATTAATAACCACCCACCTCTACTCTGCTCTAATTAAGCTTTCATATCAACCTGTGTCTGTGTAATTACAGTCCCTCCACTTCTTATGCATTCATTTCTAATCGGACTGTTTTGCTCCACAAGGTTGGCCATGAAAGAAGAAAGAGCATTTACAACCATGAGACAGTGAATTGTTACATTCTTTTTCTAAGAAGCTATAAAAGTCCACATAATGGACTAATATAATGGCTGAAACCTGAAGCAGGCCTGCATCATATGAGTACATCAATAACGTGGCAGAGTACATTTTTTCGTCTGTTTGTGCATGCACACCTGCAAATAATACATGACTTTGTACCTGTTGTTTTAAATGGCTGTTTTTTCAAGATGGTAAAATTATTAAAAATAATACAATAGGCATAATAATACAATTTGATTTAACAAGTGTATGACTGATTGTTGTTTTAACAATAATTGACATTTTTATTTGATTAGATGATGGTTTGCTGGTTTAAAAATTAAGGCTATGTCTGATTATGTTCTACATAAGAACTATGTACATCAAGACTTAAAAACATCTGCTTGGGTATTTTGGAATGCAATGACACGCATGAAATTGAGCTTGTGTACCTGGAAGCATCAGCACTTATGTACCTGCACAGAGTATGTATCGGGCCTTACTATCTAGACACTGGGCTCCTTTGATAACACTCAATGAAGCAAAACCTGTCAAAGCCAACTTTTGCTTTCCGTTTATACCAGGAAGTAGATCTAGTTTTCCAGGGATGGAATAAAATGTGTTTATAGAGTAACATTAGCATTTGAGATTGTGGTGATATCTGTCAAGATGAACGATGTACAAGCACAGTGAAACTGGGTGAAACTAGAATGCAGATTGCCAGTGCCCTTTATCCAGCTAAATATTGAATATTTTATGAATATGAGCTAGGGGGACTGTAAAGGCGACATTTTAATGATTCGGCTTTCTGTCAAACTTGTTCCAAAGAACAAAAACCGACCAATGGTGGTGCCAGTCCAGCACCTAATATATATTAAGACAAAAGTCATTTAGAACCAAAAAGGCCTACATTTCTTGTAGTTTTTGCACATTTTAATACAATTCTATCAACCTTATTTTTAATGTAAGAGCAGATGCATCCATTTTTAACTTCTGGTGTTTCGTTTCCTCAAGGCTTGTGGTGTCAGTAGCTAGTCATTAGCTGTACATAAACAGTCGGTTAAGCTGTTAATGCTGCAAACTGTTTTTTGATATAATTATTTCTATCATATATTTAGTAAGGTTTATCTGTAACTTATTCTGGGAATCGTCCATTGTTGAAATTTACTTTTAATTCGCTAAATACTTGGTTCACTAGTTCCTAATTCTTTCATTAACAGCTCGGCTCATTACGAGTCGACTCTGACATGTTCGAATCAGATGCTGAGTTGTCAACTCCGATTCGAATTGTTCAAAGCGGTTTAGCGAACGAATTCACCCTATTCATCGAAAAGATCCGACTCCGAAGAACGATTCGTTCACGTTCAGACATGTCTACATGAAAAACACCGCAGCAGTCAGTCCACTCAGCAAGAGCGCGACGTCGTTTTGTCGCGTCGCTTGCTCGGACTGTGTGTGTGTGTGTGTGTCACTTCTCGACGTCGACAGAGAAAATCTCGCGTGGCTGGCAGCTCTCTCTCGCCATCTCCACCAGCAACACACGCACGCCACTTACCAGCAGCACCTCTCTCTTCTTTCACCCCCACCTCCTCCTTTCTCTCTCTCCCTTTGAGTGAGCGAGAGATCTCCCGAAACCTGAGCGAGGCGGTCCCGGAGACACCATAGTGGCGATATCCTCCTAAAGCGCAACATGGCTACAATTGTAACCTCCACCAGGTTTACAGACGAATATCAGCTGTACGAAGAGCTCGGAAAGTAAGCGACCGCACCGCTGCATTTGTGTGACGCGTTACACACACTCTCTCTTCACTCACTGCATTGTCTCATCGTGTTGCCTGGGTCTAGTTCAGTGTGTTGACAGCAGCCTTCACACAGAGGCGGATGCATGTCAAAAGCCAGTGCAACCTGCTTAACGAAAGCCCGATTGAGTCGAATCGAGCAGTTCGGTGTGTTTATTAAGCCTCGGGTTTCGCGAAGCTCGTTTCTTTGTTTATCTTTAGATGCGTTTCCTAACGTCGTGCTCGCGCGCTACAGGGTGCTTTCGGAGCCTGCGTGTCGTCGTGATGCGAGATGCAATACTCTGTCGACAGAGTATTCACTTTATCTAGAAAGGGAAATACTTAAGTCTGAGGTGCTCGGCTTTGTGATTTGCGTCCTCGTTTTGAATGCACACCCAAACTTTTACAGCATTCAGAAGCATTAATCGGGTATCACTGATGACTGCTGCCGCGCAGGATTGATTGTACGGTTTGCTGCAGACTTGTGTAACGATAGTTGCGGAAAATGCTGCAGTTTTGGGCATCATATATCGCACCGTCATTGGGCGGTCTGTTACGTTTGTTGTCAGTTGTTGTCCAGCTGCCAAAAACATCAACGTGAAAATGAAGGAAGTGAATTAGCGTTGCTCGATTCATTAATGAATCGTTATGTTGAGTCGGATCGTTTTAATTAACTAGTTGACCTGTGGACGGTCTGAACGATTCTTTGCGAATGGTATTGCATCATTTTAAGCGGTTCTCGAGTCAACAACTCGTGCAAATTACTTAAATAGCCGAATAGCAGAGATGTTACAAATAAAACGTAATGTTTATGATTCGAATGTGTGACGGTTTTATCAACACGCATATGACACAGATTTGGCTTTAATAAATAGCAGCTGAATTAGTAAATAAACATCATAAAACTCTATAAAAAAACAGCAAATATACCTACATATGTCTTAAATTAAACATGTTAGAATATGTAATATTTCATAGAATATGTAATTTTGTTAACAGTTAAAAATAGAGATGTTTTTGGAAATAACTGTAGTAGCAACTTAGTAAATAAGTAGCCTATAGTAAATCAAACTTAATAAAATGTCAGATATGTTGGAGTCCATGTGATGACCTAATGTCCCACTGAATCGCTTTTTGAACCCGTTCTTCTACACAAACTCTTAGAAAGAACGGATTAGTGGAAATTATTCAGATTTCCCATCAGTATTTTTTGAGTTATATCTTATATGTCACTGTCATTAGGTGGTCGGTATCTTTCATTGACAGGAGTTGAACAGCTGGCAAAAACATCGGCACACAATGATTCCCTTAGTGCTGTTTTGTTTGTGAAATGTCCAATTTAGCATTTGACTTGATGTTGTGGCACATAACTGTTAATAAAGCTACTGTTTTTTGTTGTTTTTGTTGATTTGAATACCATGCAATATTAAAGTCTGTATGCCTGACCAGGGGCGTGTCCAGGATTTTATACTTGGGGTGGCAAAGAGGGGGCAAGAGCAGAATGAGGGGTGGCAACTATAGATCAGTGTTTGTACTCCCCATATATTCTGTATATTCAACACCAGTGTTGGGGAGTAACTAATTACATGTAAAGGAATTACATAATTTAATTACAAAATAAATGTAAGTGCAATCTGTTACAGTTACTGAGAAAAAAAAGTGTAATTAAATTAGCCTACAGTTACTTATGAAAATGTTAACAATTAAAAAAAGGGGGTTTTCACACAAACACGCACATACAGATTTGATTAATTTATTTCTTAATTGCAGTGACTGCTCTAAAATACAAAGCACCAATGTTTCAGGAGTTTAGAACACAGAATAAGATGCATGCTTATTCGATAACTGTTTAATTTCCTATGTGGGTTTATGCATATGCTTTAAGAGTAACTTATTTTGTTCCCCAAGGCATTGTTAGATGCCAGTGTTTCCTGTCATAGCTGTGAAAAGATTTGATTTTAAAAACAGTATCATAGCTATCAAACTATTTCTTCGCTTCAGTTAAAATCACGCTGCTCCGCTCTCAATGCACTTCGATCCCATATGCTGCTTTGGGGTGGGAACTGGGGTGGCAAAGCTCATTTTAAGGGTGGCACGGGGTGGCAACTGCCACCCTTAAAATGAGCTTTGCCACCCCAGTTGCCACCCCAAAGCAGCATATGGGATCGAAGTGCATTGAGGACACGCCACTGTGCCTGGCATATGTATATCACTGCAATAGGTTGTGTCTCCAGAAACTGGAAAACAAAATTTTACATGCTTGTACATGCTAGCCAATCAGACAAGTTGTGTGTCACACCTCTGTGCCAATGGTGTGAGTTTGGGCCTGGGCTACCTGTTTATCAAAACTAAAGAGGTGCTCACACTGACAGCGATTTCTGTCTTGAGTGACAGCAACTGTTCTCAAATCTGAACAGAGCTTACTAGAAACTAACAGCATAGCAACTCCACAGCCTCCCATGATTTAAACACCGTCAGTGTGAACGCACCATAATGAGTTAGGGTTTAATGGATGTAGCATGTTTCATTTAGCCCCTGCTGTTAGATACCATACCTAGACCAGTCTGCTGCCAAAAAGCATCTTTGTCCATTCAAAAGTAGTTGTGTGCTCTGAGTACATTCTTTCAGCCAACATTTAAATAGTAAATATTTCAGTATAGCGTAGTAGATGTTTTAGCAGTGCCCAAATCATTTTTGGAGAGCTCTTAAAAGCCTGAAATAGACATATTTCCCATATTTCCGCTGTTCACATCACAGCTCACAATAGTTGCCTATAAGCAAAGTTGTCATTTTTGCAAGTATGTTAAATCATTTACAGTGACATAGCCTATTTTATGTAGCACATTTAAAGCTGAATTTTTAGTGCCAGTGTATTGTTGTTGTTACATTCTTTTTCGTGATTTTGCGTCCAATAGAATGCAACAGTGGGGTTCCGGAGGTAAAACTCCTTTTATTCGTAGTGGAATTGATTTTGAATTGATCTTCTAAACCTTAGAAGACACGCCTGGGGCCTGATGTATAAACGTTGCGTACGCACAAAATGGGCATGGAAATGTGCGTACGCAATTTTCCACGCACATATTGGGATTTATCAAAAATAAACTAGGCGTAAATATGCGCGCACCGTACAGACACTCTAGAGTAGACCATGTGTAGGCCTACGCACTCTTTTACTGGAGGGAGCGAAATAAGGAAGCAAACAGAATGATTTGAAAGTCTGTTTTACATTTGACATACACGTTTAGATTAAATATGACACTCTGAATAATGAAGTTAAGCACTGAAATTTCGTGAAATTATTATACAGAAATTACAACCTTTTTATATGAATTTAAACAGAAATATTAGCAGTGGATATGCAGCTTTCGAACAATTTTCCTGTGGTATGCGATTTAATGTTCACAGCGAGGATTGCTTGACGCATGACAATTCCGCTTTAAAGGGGTTATATGATGCTGCTAAAAAGAACATTATTTTGTGTATTTGGTGTAATGAAATGTGTTTATGCAGTTTAAGGTTCAAAAAACACATTATTTTCCACATACTGTACATTATTGATTCTCCTCTAAGAATATCTCTTTGGATTTGAGACTTTAGTCTTTGCAACTTTTCAGATCTTCTTTATGCACCAAGAGCTTGTAACACTCCAAAGAGAAAGGAAAAATGGAAATCGCATCATATGACCCCTTTAAATTGTGTCCTAAATAGCAAAACTCATGTTCTGAGAAAATACTTTTGCGCGAATAATGATCATTTTGTGAACTTGACTTTGTTTGATGGCTTTGGAACATAGACGGTAATGACAGACATAAGGATGCGCTCGTTGATCAAACAGTCCATTGGTCTGATGACAGTAGAACCTCTGTTCACAGGTGTCGTGCACAGACAGTAGCCTAATGATAACCCATTTCATGCTCTTCCCAATATTGTGACAAACACCACATTTAAAAGATAGAATTTGAAGGAAACTGTAAGATATGCGCGTTTTATTTTCAAAATGTTTTGTTATTGACGTGTCAGACAGCTATTTACTGCAAAAAAATAAGGCCTATATCTTTCCATAAAAATATAGGCCATAAACGTTCTAAAATATATGTTTACCTTTTAGGCAAATTGCATAAATTAAAATAGTGATGTCTCAAAACGCATTTATAGTCCGTATCTCATATTTTCCTAACGTATTGTACCCTTAACTGCATTAAACATGGTGCCACGTGGATGGGAATATGCATGGAAATGATATTCAGATGACGTTATGCATATTAAAACTAGGCGTTGTAAGCTCCAAAAATGGCTATTTCGGGGAGGACACGGGGTGGAAATAGTAATACCTTTGTAGTACCTGCTGACTGGGTATTACAAAGGGAATTTTGCACAGGTTTTGGCATACGCATGGCTTTATAAATCTGAAAACTTTTGTACATACGCAAAATCTAGCTTTTGTGCGTACGCACACATTTAGGATGAAATCTACATAAAGTTTAATACATGAGGCCCGAGATGTGAGCTACGACGTTGTTAAAAAGTGTGGTATATACTTTGAAGTCATCAGCCCACATAGTTTCAATTTATTTTTTAAATAACCATGTTCAAAAGTGGAAATCCTGAGGAAAAACTACATTACCCAGGATTTTGCAGAGAAATCTCTACCAATCAGAGAATCAAAGCAAATGATACTAGTCTCCCTAAGCTCTCAAACTACTTAAATACTTGTATGCATAATCTACATATTTTGCGGAAAAAAAACAAAACAAAACATGAAATGTATTGTTTGTATATGTGTATAATCAACAGCTTTAAATCAATAGTTTTATATTTTTCCATAATTTTTAATTTGATTATGTCATTTGCAGTGTTTCATGGCATTGTAGTTCTCTACCTCATTAAATCTGTTGCTTCAATTTGAAAGTTTCTTGGAAGTTGTGATTTACCTCAGCTGGTTGATTTCGTTCATAGCTTACAAGTCCAAATCAAAGACTTTTTGGAAAATCCCTATGGGAAAAGTGAAAACTTTACTTCTGGAACCAATGCTGCTAAAATGTTGGATGGGCACTGTTGCACGCTATTTGCTTCATTTGTGTAACATTATGATTATGTGATGTTTTTTGCTTAAATAAAATTTTCAGGCTTGCTTGATTGTGTAGTTATTGACATTGACATTGCTGTGTTTCTTTCAAACAGGGGTGCCTTTTCTGTTGTTCGGCGATGTGTAAAGAAATCAACCAGCCAGGAATATGCTGCTAAGATCATCAACACAAAAAAGCTGTCAGCAAGAGGTAAGGTTTTGCTTTTGCTAACCTGTTAGTCTGACTCGTGTATTTGATCTGCATCATCGTCTTCCTAAAATGTTATTTTAGTCCTTAAATCTTCTATTTGTGTCAATACCCCATCATCCTTCAAGTAACTAAGGTCTTTCTCTTTGATCTGATCAGATCTGCATTATTTGTGATATAGCATACTATATCAGAACTGGCCACATATGACAAATTCTCATTTTTTGAACGGCATAAATTGTTGTCTTATTGTACTCTGAGCACATGCTAATTTAAAGTATCTTAACCTACCACAAATGCTTAACAGGAAGCATGATGTTAATCCATCCGAGCAGACTGAACAATATTGATAATCTGTCTCTCCGTGGATGGGTCTGTGCTCTGATGTCATATGTGTAACAGCTAATGCAGTGAACCTGTTGATGCTACTTCTTTCATTCATTCTTTCTGTGTCTCAGTTGAGTCACTAATCACTGTCAGTATCATCAGTGCTAATTATGTTGTTGGTGAAGATGGTCAGGATATATGAGCCCCAGCCACTGTTTCTGCTGCATCGCAAACAAAAGCAGTGAATCTATTTCAGGGAACGGACACTTTGTGTACCTGTCCTCGTACGGTATCAGGTTGGGTTGAATTAAATGAAATGGATTTGAATTAAATGACTCTTTTGGATTGTCAGCTTGGCATGGACATGATTACTCAAAGACTGATCAAGATAACACATTAATTGTGTTAACTTTGCCTGAACGTTTCACACAGACCGAAATCCTGTAACAACTACTGTCTGTAGACCTTCAAGCTGAATTATAACAGATCCTGTTCTCATTGTGTGCGCATGTGTATGCTACGGTCCCCATGGATGGCCTGTAAACAACAGATTTATTTTAAAAGATCCTGGGACAAAAAACATCAGGTAATTAGATCAGCATAGTTTGGCAACTCTCTTAGGCTTGATTTCAAGGAACTTGGCAACTGTTTTTCTTCAGACTCTTCATCATGCTGGCTGGCACTGCATTTAAAAGCAACAGTGCTATTCATCCGGTGGGCCCAACTCAAGTGCCAAAGTCCCCTCCTGTGAAATCTCCCCATTCCCTTGGCCTTAATCAAAGCCCAGAGAGATCTCTCGACATGCCAACCTGTTAACGGCATATAAGCTATTATCATCTCTGAGTCATCTTTCAAAGGCCAGGATAGTCTGCAATTACTCAGTCAAACGTTGATTGTACCTTATAGTATATAGAGAGCAGTACACTTGTTTGTTGAGAGTGCCGCAGTCTTATAGCTGTTGTTTAATGGTAGTGCTCCAGATTTCTGATCAGATTCTTATTCGTATGTTCTCATAAGTGTAGTTTAAGATTTAATTTCAGTTTCATATTATCTTGAATTTATTTGTATGTGATGCTTCAATTTCTTACCTGTTTTGCATAAAATTCAGATTAGTCGAATCAATGAAATGTAAAGGAAAACATGTAAATGTAGAGCACTAAGAATAAACAACGTGAACTTACCTCTGGTTACTCATACTCCATCTTCTTTTACTTTTGCTGTGAAATGGTTGAAGTGTCATGAACTAAGAATGAGCAATACTTTTACAGAATTTATTCATCTAGATTAATGTTGTTTTCTACTCATACTAATAGATTTGTAACGTTTTAATTATACATTAACATGAGCTAAATTTGACTTTCGATTAATAAATGCTACATGTAAGTTCATGATCTCTATTGCTTTAAAGTACATTTGATCTAAGGCACTTTAATTGGATAGAGGCAGATCTGAATGCAAGCTTGCAGATGATTGTAACTAAATGACTGGAAAAGTCCCGCATACGTCACTAGAGAGAAGTCTGTTTTTTCACCGGAAGATCAAGTTATGACATTTTGATTAAAAAAAATGAGGTTAAAAATTTAAACGCACATGGATGAATCATTTACAATAAGATCAATAAAATACATTTAGAAAATAGGCAGTAAATTTCCATTTCATGTCAGCTTTAACTAATTGAATCTTAATATAAAGTGTTACTGTATTTTATTATTATTAAAACAGTAGACTTCAACCATTTTCCGAGCTATGGACCCTTAAACCTGTATTTTAAACCTGACCTTTAATAACGTACATTTAAGGTCATTGTTTAAATTTCAAATAATGTTCATTTTAATTGTACATGATCAATTTGAATGTGGTACAAATAAACGTTTAATGTACAAGTAATGTTGTATTTTAACACATTTTCATTATTTTTCAGAAAAATTCATTTGTACCTGTTCACTACACCATTGAAGACCTCTGATGTAACACATTCCTACACAGTTCTGTGGCCATGTGTGGTTTGTCCGAACATACAGTACTAATGATAGCATTCTTGCCTGTATCATGTGTGTGATGGTGGTCAGTGGTGTGATCCAGGGCAGCATGGAGCCTGTGGCTGAGATGCAGGCATTGCGAGTGTGCAGTGGTGATGTCCAGAGGCACGTGAAACACTGCTGAATAATTGAGGCACACACAGCCTGTCGTAGCTCGAAATGGAAAAAGAGGGTAGGACCTTCACCACTTTCTGCCTCTCCACATCTCTCTGGCTCTCTCTAACCTCCCAAGGATTAGCTGCAGCATCGTGGCCTTGTTGTAATATCAGGGCCCTGGAAAGAATCCTCGTTACTTGCTGAAGGGCGACTGGCAGAGGCCTGATAAACATAACAGCACTGCTGTGGTGAATCTTTAATGGACCAAACTGTGAATTTTTAATGAACCCCAGCCAAATGGTGTGTGTGCACATAAACGGGAAGAGAGTGGGTGATTGCTGAGTGTGTATTGGGACACATTTAAAGGAAAGGCACAATTGTGTACATGTTTATGATCTCTGTGTGCCAGTGAGGGCCAGAGGTGTGAAAGGGAGGGAGAGGTGGTTGTATAATCATAAGCGTGTATACATGTGTTTGCTTTGTCATGAGATTCTCCTTGTATCACTTTCAATTATGCAGGCTAACAGCATAATCAGGATTACATTAAAGCAAAGGAGGCCAAACTAAATGCTAATAAGTTAATAATAATGCTAATAAGTTAATAAGAATTTAATAATAAACTTTTCAGTTACATTGATCGTATAGTATGTAATGAGAACTTTACATTAATAGTATTTCACAAAATGAAAGCCTTTTCATTAATGATAGACTGATTAATCTTCAAATATTTAGCCATCTTTCTTGATATAATCATCTGATGTTACCATGTCCACATAAATAAACATGTTTGCTTTGCCAATGTATAAATGTATGTATTTTAAAAGATGTCTCTTATGCTCACCAAGGCTGCATTTAAACTAAATATAGTAAAAACAGTCAATATTAATGTAACTTAAAAACAACTATTTTCTATTTTAATATATTTTAAAATCGAATTTATTCCAGTGATGGTAAGATGCCCATCTAGGAATCAGAAATGATTATAATATGCTGATTTGGTGTTCAAAAACATTTCTTATTATTATCAAAGCGTTTCTTATTATTATCGATGTTCAAAACAGTTGCGCTGCTTAATATTTTTGTGGAACATTGTTTTTGTTCAGGATAGAATAGAAAGTCCAAAAGAACAGTATTTATTTGAAATCTAAATCTTTTGTAACATTATAAATGTCTTTACTGTCACTTTTGGTCAATTTTTCACTAACTGTCACTAATTTTCACTATTGGACTGTATAGTGTGTAACAAGTGTGAGAGGAGAAGCTCTAAATGCTCTCTAGTGAAAAATAAATCTACATAGTCAATGTCACCTCATACTGTCCTTGCTGTGGCACTGTGGTTCCTGATTACCATGGCATTATATTTACCTCTATACACAGTAAGCACTGGATCAATGCATGTACCAGTTTCCTGTCACACCCTTCTCACATGCCTGAAGTTCTACTTTGATGGTGTCACCATGTTTTCACCTTAGAAGAATTCATAGCTAATATTTAGTTACAGATGACCAGAAAGGGGTATTTGAAAGGAAAGCTGCTTTAATTCATCTCGCAAGTTAGGATGGGCAGTGACATTATCACTCGTTGCAACCTTAAATAAACTAGTTCTGATCCCCAGTGTTGTGTTCATCAGTGTCCAAATAGTCATAATGTTTGCTTACCTTGACCATATGTAGACAGGTTATAAGGAATGTTCTTGGATCCGTGGAGATTAATCAGTCGACATGTTTGTGTCTGAAATTCAGCTTTAGTTCAGTTAGCTCATGACATGATATACTGAGGGAAGAACAGTTGCTCTGCTTTATTTCATTGAAGGTAGGAGGTAAATTTGAGTTTATGAGTTTAGTTCTAGTGAAAGGACCAGCAATTGACCTCTTTTGATTGACAGGCAATCTATGACCACCATAACACCGAATCTGGCGACAAACAAATCAGACAGGAGAGTAGATTTACATCAGTGGATTTGAACTTATTGTTTGAGTTTCCTAAAAAAATTACTAAATTTGAAAGCTGAGGCTTTGTTTCATACCAAAAGTAACCTGCTCTGTAACCGGCTCGTTGTCAGTTTCCTCTTTGCTCTGCGATGTATTTTTCACTGTGTGAGTGATGATGTGTGGCGTGAGCGCGCCATGGCTTGTCGGACATAGCAACGGTAACTAAGGGGGGCGGGACTTTGAGAAGGGTCCAGTCCTTGCGAACCACCACTCTGCATATTTTGCATGACCTTTGTTTCATACCAAAAGTAACCTGCTCTGTATTTCTGTCGGCTCGTTGTCAGTTTCCTCTTTGCTCTGCGATGTATTTTTCACTGTGTGAGTGATGATGTGTGGCGTGAGCGCGCCATGGCTTGTCGGACATAGCAACGGTAACTAAGGGGGGCGGGACTTTGAGAAGGGTCCAGTCCTTGCGAACCACCACTCTGCATATTTTGCATGACCTCTCTTATTTAACACATCTGATTCAGATAACCAGCTCGTTAGAAGAGAGCTCCATGCATGAACTGTGTTCCAACTGTCATGCTCCCTACTCCCTCTGCACTGGAAA